CAGCAAAGTCAGTCACTTGTACACAAGTGCTATGACTTATATTGCTGCAAAATGCCATTCTATAAATAACATGGATTATTTTCCACTACTGATCCCAGTACTACACAAGCATTATAACTGTAATGGTCTGATTCCTTGTACCCCGGGTGATAGTCCAAGGTAGAACCAATAAAGAAGAACGAGAACACAGGTATGGAATAACACAGATATATTACAAATTGGAATATATACAGAGAAGTAGAAGTGTTAGTATGAACAATCAGGTTTAGTAGAGAGAACAATGTAGTCTCAACCAGTATCACTATTCCAATGTCTTGCAGTAATTGTCTGAACGTGACTCTGTTTCGGACTGCCTCTGACTCAACTCTTGACTCGACTTGAACTACTGACTCCTTGCCTACTCCTGAGGCACAGTATTTATTAAGTATGGAATAGTCCATTATTATTATTATTTTTAAGGGTAAGATCCCATAATAATAACCTAATTCATAATATTATCCTGGCCAAACCGGTCACTACTAGTTGCCACATGCTATATTATCATATGGATAGCATGGTATGTGCCGTCAAGGCTAGTAATAATAAAAGTTGTTTGTTTAGTAATTAAATTAGATTTTTTAAATGGCGGTTTGATTATCTTTCATGATGAGTAGACAAAAAGCTAGCAAACTTGGTGGTTGCACACTTTTGGCAAAATACAGACCTGAAGAGCCAGCTTTCTGTGATGTTGTTTAGCATGCTGGTGATAAATTGTTTTGCAGTTTTTGCCAACACATTGTTTTACTGTTTACACACAAGCCTCTGTTTTTCATGTGTTTTTATGATTTTGAAACAGAAAATTGAAATTTACCATCATGGAAGAACACTGAATTTGACATTTTAGAACACAAAGAACTTGTCACTCTTCTCTAACATTTCTGTGACAATTTTTATAGATCATTTGTTTTTTATTCTTCTAATTTTATCCATATTTATCCATGTAATGGTGGTGTAACTGACTTGGAATGAAAATCTGAGAGCTGAGTTCAAATTCCAGTTGAGCCCACTTATGCTCAAATAGCCTTGGAAAAGGTATAATCCATCTCTTTTCCCCCCAGTTTTAGGTTAAATAGTAGAACTGAGCCCTATAGCTTTGATTGGCAACCAATCTAGGAAAAGGAAAACTTGAAACTCAAGCTAGCCTGCAGATAGTTGGGCTCCATTAAGCTCTATTGCCCAAGATACTACACTACTGCTACAGTTGCAGGACATTTGGTACCCCTATGAGCGTAATGGGTTATGAGACTTGTACGCTCCAGCCTTCTTCAGGATCTCTCTATATTTCTGAGATGGGGTATTGTAACTATTTACAATATTTACATTGTTCGAACTGTTATCCTCTTCTTTATTGTCACATTCATGACGTTTCAGCCATTGTATGCTCTGGCCTTCTTCACCCTGAAGTTGTTTTGTCCATTTGAAATAAACAAAAATAAAGAAGCTAGTCTTACACCAGAAAAGAATTTGTCCCCTGTGCACAGTTTGCCAAAAAAGATAAAATAAAATAATTACTACCTCACATATGGTAATTTTTTTTTATACTCCCCAACTATCAAGACCAATTTACCTCAGTAAAAGTTGTTGCTTTTCTTGACGAGCAGTGCATGTATTTTTTGGTTTGTGAGCAAGCAAGAGTGAATTTGCCATCTTAGAATTTACAACTTGTATTTGATGACACCTATGTTATTTTAGCAGTTGGACTTGTGATTTCTGATTTCTATACGACTCGTCTTTACTGCCTTTGGGATTTGTGAGGCTGGATTTGGACTTTTTCACTGCCCTTGTGGGGTTTTGTCTATTTTGTTTTACAGCATTTCAACCTCAATGGGTTATTTAATGCTGGCAAGATTTTTAGAATAGATTCGCATGAATAGAATATGTATTCTTTGTAGGAACTCAGTTTGTAGATCAGGTCTCATTGACATATTTTTGTAAAGAGTGTTTTTGTTGAGAGTCAAATGTATTGCTGGTATTTTATTTTTTTTGTATTTTTTATTTCCCCAAATGTATTGCTGGTAACATATATATATATATTTTTTCCCCAAAAATGTATTGTTATTTTTACTATAAAAATCTATTTTTATACTTTCATAATGTTTTGACCCCATTTTGAAGGTTAACTATTTGCCCATAGCTGGGACCCTAACAGGTGCTACTACTCCAGGTCATGGTGGACCTGGGAACAATGGCAATTAAGAGATGGTTCCATGCTCCTCAAAACCTACTGATAAGAGGCCTTACTTCTAGATGTATTTTATACCCAGGGTGCACCCTTGTTGTATTGAACATTTAACAGATTCAATATAAATATACTTTGTTTCAGAAATACAAATATTTTGAAATAAGTCCATATCACTTTCAAAGCATGTGATATTCTTTTGTCTCCTGTTTATTGCAGTGCAATTACCAATTATTTTCTTTCATATCTGACAAAAGGTTAAAGATCAGTTTTAACATTCAT